GGAGCAGAGCAGCGTGAGCTGTCGTAGCTTACGCCTCTCTTAGGGTGTATGTGTGTGCATTTGTCCGTGCCTGCCCGCCTTTGCATTTGTGTTAGTGTGGTACATGCTCTTCGGGGGCAAATGAGAGGCAAACGCTGCTCAATGTTGAGACGAGTCAGTGAAAAATATTTCCCGTCATATCTAGTGAAAAATAATTTAGTGTATTTACGATTTTATAATATTAAGTACACGATCAGGTGCTTATGTGCGCGCGCGTGTGTGTGTGCGTGTGTGTTAATGTAGCTGTATGTGTGCGTGTGCTTTGTGTCCACTCAATTTTTAAAGATGTGCTAAACAGCGAATAACCTAAAAGGAATTATGCAATGAATAGAAAAAAGGCTTGCGCTTAACTGTTTCTTTTTCTTTGGTGTAAGTGAAAATTAACACACACATACATATACTTAGACTTACATATAAAACCCATGTGAAATATGTAAATGCGAAAGTGCAACGCTAAAGATAAACAACGAAAAGGTTGAAAAACAAAAACAGTGAAATTTATTGGCAAGCTAAATGAACAAAAAAAATCAGCTGCACAAATGTACACATATGTACTTAAGTAAATATAATTGTACATCTGTGTAAATGTATGTATGTATGTTGGTATTAGTACATCACGTTTGCCATTTATTTGTATTTATGTAATCGTCTCTGTTGCTCTCTGTTGAGAGTTTAGTGCCAGCTGCAGAAGAACAGTTAAAGTAAGGGAATTCGAACAGTTGTTCAATACTGCAATAACAACTGTGGAAACACAAACACACGCACATACATGTATAGTATAAACATATGTATGTACATACGTGCATAGTCAGCGTGATGTAACAACAACAACAACAACTGTTTCTGACACTGGCATGTGAACTGGATTACACATATTATTGGCAGCATAAAGAAACAAACAAGAATAACAAAATAGAAAAAGCAACAACAACAACAACAACAAAATACGTCCTCCCACTTTATATACAGACATGCAAGCTAACGTATATACATACATACATACATACACAAATAGTCATTAGGCTGTATAGTGCATATACATATGTATATACATACATACATATATACCAATATGGTTTTACGTACGCTCTAATTATCGACAAACAAGCTATTCGAAGGCCACCCAGATATTTAGATCCGTAGACATCTAGCGATAGGACTGTGGCATATGCCCTACCTTACCTTCCCATTATCACGGTGTATTCATAATCGACGGCTTAAGAGTTAATTAACTTAAAGCTATATAATTGAAGAAACCAGAAAGCAACGGCAATGACAACGGCAGCAGTAGCAGCAGCAGCAACAGCAACAAGAACAACAACAATGACAATGACAACAACAAATACTCTAACACTTTTAATTGACTGCACGAACAATGCCATAATATCACGCAATTCCAAAGCCAACCCATTTGAAAGCACTTTGTCGTGCCCTACACCACAATATGCTATATGCCACATAACGGTAATGCTGTAAAAGTTTCTAGACCACAAACAGCAACAACAACAAATTACGCAAACAAGAGTTGTAGCCAATGATCAGCTAGTCAATACCCTGCATACGATTGAAATTGTTATTAAATATATATATTCGATATATATCGAACGTCTGATACATTACAAAAATATGTATTTACATATATAAATATTAGTGTGCCAATATATTAGCCCATCAGATATACTATACAAGATAAATTGTCTCGTAATGCCTACAGGGTATAAAAATAAAACAGCAAAGAAATGAGAGAATTGCCAGCGAAAGACATAGGAATTATATTATTAAATGATTTTCCCTTCAAGGCTCTCAATAAATTGAAGCTTTAAAACAAATGTGAAGCAAACAAAAATGTGTTTTTAATTAAATTAATTGCATTTGTGTTCTGAGAGATTTCAACTTTTAATTAATTAATATTTATGTTGATTTTTTCTTTTACAAACATTTCATTAATAATTTTATGCCTTTTTGTGGCCCATGAAAACAAAATCAACAATTTAATTGAAAAGATAAGCTGATAAAACTTTGATGGAAACTTTGATTTTGGTCAGGGGGAACCTTTTCCTTGAAAACCCATCATATGACCCAAAGGGGAAGGCTTTTGCTATGCCAGCAGACACAGTGAAAGCCCAATTGACGAACAAGTTCCGTTACACGGATATTACTTTTTATCTTCAATCGACTTTTTTATTGCTTTCGTATTTGATGCAATTATTGGCAGGAAAAATCAACAAACGAGAATAATTCCTTTTGAAATTGCAAAAAGAAATAATAAATACATAGATCCATAGAAACTGGAAAAAGCTGGCATTGGAAATTTCAATTTGTAAGTCGTTGTGCTTAATCTCTTTCTTATTTAACAGATAGAAGATAAATGTGTGCATGTATATGTGCATATAATGTATGCATATACATATATGTATGTATATGGTAGTTTGGTAGTTCCGCTTAATAGAGCTTTCACTGTATATGGTTACATGCATAGCTTTGAAGTCCGTTGGTTCTATAAATACATTTCGCTTGAAGTATATTTGGACATTCAAAAGCATTTTGACAATTTGTTGCACACAGCAACCAAGCAGATAATTATCATCAACAAACCAAAAGCAAGCCAACCAAACCAAACCCACCCACCCACCACCTAGTCACCATCCCTCCATTGATGATGATGTTGATGATGATGAACATGCTTCCAGCCAGCATTAAATGCCATGTAAAAGTAAACACAACAACATCTGCGCCTCGCTCGCTCAGCTCTCAGCCGTCGCTCTCTCGCTCTCGCTCTCCTCGTCGCACTCTTTCAGCGGCGTCAACGTCGTCGTCGTTGTCGTCGTTGTCGCCGTCGCCGTTGCCGTTGTCGGCTGCTCTTTGCCACACAATAAAAATCAATAAAATCTGGGCCACCAGTTTTAAAGGTTGATTTAAAAGGTATGGCGATGCCACTTTGACCTAACTCTGCACACATGCATAAAGTACATACGCACACAGACACACCTTATCATACATTGAGGGTGGTATGTGTCTGTGTGTGTGTATGTGTGTGTGTGTATCTCAGTATATAAATAAACAATAATGAGCTATCAACATCCGGATGTTGCCTACCCAGAGGGGCTTTATTAATTACGACCATCTGGCAGCTCTATGGATTGCACTACGCCAAGGAGATTTGTCTGCATCTTATGTAGCGACATCTGCCTACATGTCCATAAAAGTGAAAATTGAGCTTTTTCAAGTTCACACAAATTCACACACATACACAAGCATGCATGCCTATCTGTAGATACATATAAATACATGCAAAGTGTAATACTTATACATAAGTACACACATACATACATATGTATGCTGTACTCTATTTCTGTACTAGCATTTAAGCTGGTATTAAGCTCTCTGGGAATATGTCAGTAGCTTTTCTTAGGCTTAAACTTAGATCATGGAGTAGACAATATATTTTTATTAATTATAATATCAGTTTATAAATCATAGGTATACCATTGGTATACTATGTACAATTGAAAATATAAATTTATTTGAAAATATTTCCTGAAGCACCACTTCAATAATGAGTAATCTATAAGTAATTATAATTGGCTCTTATCGTTAATAAGATATCACGTAAGTGATTGCAATTATATATAATACATACATATATACATATACACATGCCACAGCTGAGTATTGATAAGAAAAAATTCATCAAGTTGAAACATATACAATTTATTTTCTTACGGGCTTTCATATCATACAAATATATATCATAGGGTATTCGCCCGTCAGTGTTTACTATGCTTGCCTTTGCCTCGCCTTCGTCTGTTTAAATGTATGTGTGTGCGTGGCTATTATTAAGCTAAGTTTCCCATAGCGCTGAGCTTTGAGTCGTACGGCCTTCAGCCAGAGCGCAGACTTGCAAACACACATACAAATGTACCTATATACGAATACATACATACAGCTGTGCTGCTATATATGCATACATACATATATCAATGCATTTAACACAGCTGCAATAGCGCGATTAAGCTGTACATGCACTTGTGTACATACATGTGTATATATATAGCCATGCTTAACGGTGTGCTTGTGTATGTGTCGCAGCGTTTTAAATGTCATTGCGCATACGCACAAGCAATTTGAGCAACAAGAACAACAGCAGCAACAACGACAACGACAACAACAGCAGCTTTTGCTCTTTGCTCTTTCGTTCGTATCCGCCGCTGCTCCAATTATGAACTGCAGCTGAGCAAAAAAAAAAGGAAAAAGCAACAACAACATTTCGCTATTTGTTCTTTGCTCTTTCGGTGTTCGCTCTCGTCTTTGCCCCAATTACGAACATGCAGTTCGGCTTTCGCTCTCGCCTGGACTAGTTTTTAGCTGCTCTCTTTGGGATGGCCATGGTTAACCTATATTCGCGGCTGACATTTAGGTGCAGCGTATTGGGCACCCGTCTGCAACTGAATGACGTAGCTAGCTGTTTGTGTGTGTGTGTGTGTGTGAGTGTGTATATACATAAGTGCAAGTAGAGGCCGTTTTTTATGAGCTTTTAAAATATTCATTGAATGGAAGAAACCGGGTACTGACAATTAGCGTGAGAAATAACAAAGACTTAATTAGTCAATTGATTGGCTTTAAGCAGAATCCAGAATCCATAAATTCGCATGGATTTATAGTAAATAAGGTGAGGACTTTATAACGGTTTCCCTTATGAACAATAATGCCTTTAGTTAGGAAATTTGAGACGTAACTTAAGAAAACAATTTTGGTTAGGTAATTTGCTTCATTTCTTACACGAGACATCTTAAATGCCTAAGGACTTTACAACTGTTTCACTTAAGAAAAGTCTGTTAGTCAGGAAATTTAGTACATTTATTGTATCGGACTGGATTTCATATAAAACCCTCAATTTCTCAGTGAGCCAAAATGGAGCACTGCGCACAATTTTACACCTAATTGAAATTTACTTAACCGTCTTCTGAGCACACACACATAGAATTTGGTTAGCCAAAGTCAATCCGATTTGCTTTAGATAGTCTCTGTAGTTTCAACAATGCGACAGATAATGGGTATATCTTCTAGATGTGTACCGTTGCTGTTGGTCTCAACCAATGTGCTCTGCACATAATCATGCTTGAACTTCTCCCAGCGGCGCGTCTTCATGAAATGATTGAACAGCTCCTCGCGCGACGGTATATTCGTTTCCAGCGAGAATCTGCGTCGCAACCAGATGTGGCCCGGATTCTGTTCCGTTGCCATGAGCCAATAACGAGGCAATAGCAGACATTGCACCACGGTGCGGGCCATTATGACACGATGGGTGATTTTTTCACCCAGGCCAAAGATACCGCCATAGGTCATGGAGCCGACGTCTATGAAATGCGTCTCTGTGGGCTATCAAAACAAGATTTCTTTCAAATAAATACAACTAGCTGTGCTGGTGTCCTAGATGTCGTCTAACTAACCATATTTGCTAAACTCCTCTTCTCATGGCGGATGTGAAATCCCAGCAGCGAGCTTGAGCTATCGTCTGAATCGCCTGAGCCCGATGCATCTGTAGCAGCAACAGTTACGTTCTTGGTCCTGCTCAGCTTGGGACCGATTACGGTCGTGGTGAGCTCCACCTCGCTCAATGGCTGTTTATCGATTATCGTAGAAGATTTCGAAAATCTCGTTGTTGAGCTATTCGGATCGCTATTCTTTGTGCTTCCGTTTTCGCTTTTGACTGACTTATCATCATCGATCACATCGTCCTCATCAATAGAGGCAACCATACCCTCTTCGTCCTCCTCGTAATCCGCCTTCCACATGCTATTCATTGAATGCTTGTGTATTGGTGTTATTCGCCTGGAGGAGCCTCGTAACTTTTTTTTACTCGAACTGACTAAGGTGTCATTGGCAAGTCCACAAGCAATTTCAATTTCTCGCAGACCCGTTTTACGCTTCTGAAATTGTGTAATGAATTTAGATGTATCGATGAGTTCAATAACCCGAAATAAGGCATAAATACCGCCTTTTTTAGCAGCCTAGACTCCTCGGTGTTCAGGTCCGATGACGATGCCAGCAGTTCAGCGATATTGAACTCCGATTCAGATTGTTTATCCTTTCTTTGCGCTTCGTCGAGGAATGAGCTATTGAATGATCGGGCCGATTTTGTGGGATTGACAAAAATATCCTGTTCCTTCTCCTTAACAGAGATCAATTCGTACGTTCTTGTGCCATCCTCTTTGATCACTCGCTAACAACAGATAGAATAGATAATATATGTATACATATATAGCATATATAGTAGCATCTCTACTTACGAACATTTTGAGGCACTGTAAAACTACGCACTCGCCGCTCAATATGAAGTGAACACAGCTGACAGCGCCCCTGTCCTCCGAGTAGATTGACTGCAGTGGATCGTACTGCTCCAGCTGGCAATAGGCGCATGCTCGCACCATCTAAAACATATATTCATATATACATATATATGATTATATATACATGTATATATATTATATATTTCTAACCTGCTCTTCACTGAAAAAACTGAAATATGTTAACGAACGGATTGCCATTTTTTTTTGCTTCCATTGTTTTCGCATGAATTTACCCAACACTGTTTTGAACTCATCGTCGGTAATGGAGAGAACCTCACAGTGCGCTACGAAATGGAAATGGGCATTTAGTCTGAGATTTTATCATCGTTGTCATTTCCGAGTCTCAGCACTTACTAAGCGTTACATAAGTGTTAAGTCGCAGGCAGTCCTCGAGCAAGGCCACATCGCCTATGACGTCGCCCACGCCCACAATCGCCTCGGAGACCATGGTCGTTTTCTTTGTGCTCTAGTAAACGTAAATTATCGTAAGATAATTATAGCAAGAAAATCCTAGTATGACCCTGAATGTGGGCCGGGTCAAGGGAATTACTTTAAATGTCACTTACTTCGCTTTCCCTCTCTTCCTCTCTATCTCTTTCAGTTAAAGAGACTGATGGAATGAGATTAAGAGCAAAAGAGAGCATATAAATAAAAGAAAACGTGTAAATAAAGAACTGGAGAAACAGGGAGGTAGATACAAAGAATGATAGAAACAAGGAGATGGAGAGAAATGTATATGAATGTCAATAGAATGAGGGAGAACAAAAATAATAGGACATATGCATAGAGAATATATGGAGAAATATATGAGAATTCATTTCTCAGCTATTTTGGACGCACCTTATCGATGACGTTTTTCCTCATTTCAACCTCGCCAGATATCATGAAGTAAACCGTAATCGGTATATCATTTTGTCGTATTAGCATTCGATCTTCTCCATAGTTGGAGTACCTTAAATACGGTATTAGCCGGACTCGTAGTTTCTGTAGACCCAATTCATACTGGTAATTGGAATGTCGATATGCTACTAGGCAAACACTTACTGGAGGCAGATGGGAGAAACACGGCAGACCGGCTACAATTAAGCAGAGTTTCTTACGATCCTCAACCGTGCGGTTCGCATGGGGAGTTCGCAGCAAAGATTTTTCCTATTAAACATAAAGAGATCTTAAGTAGAATATGTTGTGAATCGAATATCGTAAAACGAATGTCACAAATCGTATATCGTAAATCGTATATAGCAAATTGCATATCGTATATCGAATATATCAAGTTGAACATATTCACCGCAACTGTCAGCACTCCGGTCTTCCGCTTCTGCCTGATGAGAAAGGCAACGTTCCTCTTAGCATTCATCACGATGCCCTGTTCCTCGGGATCATCCATCCATTGCTGATTCAGCATCACATTTAGCACCAATCTCTTGAAGCGCAATCGAATATTGCGCTTGCGAATTTGCTTTTCGTCTAAATCGCGTTTTTTAGGTAGCATTGTTATTAAGACGTAAACTTCCCGAAAATTTTTATAAATTTTTTATTTTTTTAGTTTTTATTGTTTAATATGTTTTTTGGTATTTCTTGTTTTTTTTATTCGTTTTTTTGTGTGTTTTTTATTTTTTATTTTGTTTATATTGATACCATGAGTATACAACAAATAAAAGGATTATCTAAAATAAACATTAAAAGAATCGCCTGCTTTGATGTAAATGGAATTTTGAAGAAAGCAAAAGGAAACTCAGTTTCTTTTTTTTTTTTATTATTATTATTTGCATAGTGAGGGAGTCCATTCGATTGCTAAAATTTTACAATAGTTGATTCGCTATATTTTTCACAATTACCATATAGTATTTATATATTTCAATCAAATCTAATATATATATATATTTTTTCTTGTATTTCCAGGTACATAAAATATTAAACATATAATTCTTATGAGCACTGCACACCGCTGTGAGCACACACACAGAGGGAGAGCGAGAGAGAGAGAAAATAGCCAAAGACAATAGACTACCAAGAGCAATAGACAACCAAAACATATAGATGTAGATAAATATACAAGCATAGAGAAACATATGTAAGCAGATATGTATATTTAAGGTATACAGAAGTCACATACATACATACATATGTGTATATATAAGATCTAGTTAGCCATGCCCGATAAGTCAACTGAATGAGGAATAGTTAGTAAACCAAAATAGAGCACACAACTCTCGTTTGACACAGAGAAACAGTTTGATAAATATATTCACTACAGCGTGTAATACACAACAACAGAAAACAGACATTGGACCTAAGCAAAAACAAGACAAAATACAAAAAAAAAGTCAACAAATTAATCACACATACACACACGCACACGGCATAAACCAGAGAACAAGAAGAAAAGCCAAGAGCAGATCAAGAAAGAGAAAAATTATTAACAAAAAACCAAAAACCCAAAAGTTTTTCGACCAAAACAAAACAAACAAAAAAATAAATAAATAATAATAAATCAATAAAAATCATTTAATAAATTAACTAAAATCGCATAAAATCAAAATAAAAAAATTCCAAATTTAAGTTAATAAGTGAACCGTTAAATACGTTAACTGCCCCGCATAAGGAGAAAAAAAAATTATTTTTAAAAAACTTTTTTTTTTTGCAAATTTGAATTTCGTCTGAAGAAAGAGTTGCATAAATATCTCTATATATATGTTATACAACTATATACATATATATAGCTTGTAAATATATGTATATATATATAAATATACCTATATATATATATATCTATAAATGCATATATATATACAGTAGATCAAGCGTCGATCGTGTAACAAAGCTTGCGGAGTCTGGGGGCGGCCATCAAAATGCATATTGAAATACAAGTGGCGTTGAATTTTGTCATTTCGTATCTGTACAACAAATTGCCGCGACGTCGTGTGAACATATTCGGGGAGGAGCTAGAGAAGGCGTTGCGCGACAAGTTCCAAGGACACTGGTACCCAGAGAAGCCCTTCAAGGTGAGCTTAAAAAGATAATAAACATCATGGTTAATATCTATCAATCATTACATATCATCTATCATCTATGATCTATTATCTATTATATTTCTTATATCTAATATCTTATGTCTTATATCTTATATCTTATATCTTATATCTTATATCTTATATCTTATATCTTATATCTTAT